TAATCCACATAAGGATCAAAAGCTAACACCTCCTTTAATCTAAAGAACTCTTTTCCTTTCCTACCGATTTGTGCCCAAGCTACTTCTGCCTTTTTTAACAATGCAAGGTCTTTTCCATTTTTGCAGTACACAAGTTCAACTTCTTTAGTTGTGGGTGGATGCCTCATGGCATAGCCTAATTGGCGAAGAGCGAGTACTGGATTTTAATTGATGATCCCTTTTGTTCCTATGATTGGAACATTAGAGAAACCCGTATAGTTAGAGATTACCTCAGTACTATCAACCTTGAGTTTGTACCACTAAATATCAAAAGAGGTGAGCGTCATCACTTTGGATGCCCAAGAACGAGGGTCTTCCTTGAATGGTCCCTTTGCAGGTAACTGTGCCATTAACCATTTGTAAAACATTGGCACACAACATACCGCTACTCCCTTCTTCCCATACCTAGATTGAATGGCATGATAAGTGTCAGCTAATAAGGTAGGTATCAGATTTTTATTCATGAAGACGCACAAAGCAGCCAAGTCCATTATCTCTTTAATTTCAGGGAATAGGAAAACCCCATAAATGGTAGCAGCCAACAATGCATAATAAGCATCCCAATATCCCTTACTTGCCATTTCTTTAATCTATCCTGCCATGAAATCTACCAGAAGACCACAAGTGACATTATTATGTCTCCACTTTCCTTTTACATCACTAAGGCTCAAACAAAGAACCTTAGCAATAGCCTCATAGTCAGGTTCAATAGGGACTTGGATAAATGGAACGTGATTAGTAACTCTGATGTGGAGAAGATGAGAATACTCCTCAAGAGTGGGTGCCAACTGATAATCCTGAAATGTGAAACAACGCAACTCCGGATCATAAAACTGTAGCAAAGTATACACAACCTTATCATCAACCCGATCATCCAACAAAGATAGGAGATTCCCATATCTTTCACCAAAACACCCATCTGTTGACAATTCATGAGATCTGAGTTCTTCAAGAAAGGGCCAAACACTTGGGCGAAACTGGTAGTTAAAGTTATCCCTCTTGGTCCTCATGACGATATCAGTGTTGTTTGCCATTCTTAGAGGAAAAGAAAACTCTGGAAAATCCTGGAAATGACAATGCATATGCAGGTTAATCTTTTACAATATATATATATATATATATATATATATATATATATATATATATATATATATATATATATATATATATATATATATATATATATATATATATATATATATATATATATATATATATATATATAAAAGTAAATATGATATGATGTAACATGATAGGACCAAGGTTTCCAATATATTGGGCACTGCTTTTCTGCTATATAGAGTCGTATGTTCAAAGGTTTGAGACAGTCACCAATAATAGTTACCAACCAAAGTTACCACCAGAAAGGGAGCCACCAACACAAACAAAGTCACCAACTGAACCAAAGTCACCTTCAGAACTAGAGTTACTAATATCAACAAAGTCACCAACTGTACCTGTAAGAAATCATCCCTCCCACTCACGGGTGAAGACTAAGTCAAGGTAAGGCAATGGTAACTCAGAAATCACGGGTCTGTCTGAAAGTAAAATCATTGCAACACAGATGTGTATGATGAAAGTACCTTCACTTGAACCTCATCCGAGCGTGGTATATGACATGATTGCACTAATCAGACCACATCCTATATCCGTCCTTCTCCCACTCTATTCCTAGAGTCCTAGTGCACTCTGGCTTGGGTACTGGGCCTTTTACCTCAAAAAGTATCATCTCACCCTCACAGAAACAACGTAACAGCAGTATCTAGAGTATAGAAAATAATAAAAATGCCATTCATGAAAGCATATAATCAAAGCATATAAACAAATAGATCTAGAAGGCAACAACATATAAACACCCCATAGAAAAGAAAACAAACACAAGCTAGGAATGACTTGCTAAGGATGGCCCGAGAATAGGTCGATCTATCCCCAGTGAAGTCGCCAACTGAAACAACCGACAGAAATCATCAAAGATAAAATTCAATAAAGTCACCATTGAACGTCTTTTATCCCACAGGATGAGAAAGGTAAACAACGAGAAAACCTTAAGGGGTGAAATCATGGTCTTGCGACCATAGAGATCAGATAAGGAAGTCGATTATACGAGGGGAAGATATTAACACCCCAAACGTCTGCAGTACTCTACATGATCCACTTATGTTTGTTCTAGTCTAAGGGTGTGAATTATAGGTCTAAAGCTTAAGAGCTAAAAGATATAAGAGGGGGAATGCATGCAAAAGAAAAGAGAAAATAATGTAGGGAAAATAAAAGTTGTGCTCGTTCGGGCCCTACCCAGATGCCTATATATCCCTTTTAAGGAATCAGAGCAGCCATAGTTTGGCTTCAAAAATTTCTTGTTTATTTTGTATCTTTTACTGAACAATATTAATTTCGCCTTCGGTCGCAACTAGACCTTTGGAGACTTACGCGTCAGCACATAAGTGAATTAACATGTTCTTTTGAAAAAAAGGTTTTGAAAGAAAAGCCCAAAGACAAAAAGATTATCCATGAAATAAATCTTTGAGATTCGAACCATACTAAGGCTTAGAATGGAAAAGTAATAAGATCGAGAAGAAATCCGCTTATCATCTCCCATGCTCAACAAAGGTATGATTCTCGTCAGTAACTTTTAAGTGTTTTGAAGTTTTCCAGAAAAAGAAGTTTTTGTTTTAATGCAAATGCAAAAGAGAACGAAAAGTCTAAGGGGGAGACTAACAACATAACCTTAGAGTTGTCATGCAATATTGACCCTATAGTTGAGGATGGAAGGGGAAAGTATCTACCTAATATTAGCATACATGGATATGAGCCTATGGTCTATTCAACTCAAACTTTAGGAAAGATTAATTTGAAGATCCTATGGGGAGTATACAAGAGGTGGCTCTAACAGAGAAGAGAAAGGAGATGACCTATCTTTAAGATCAATCAACAATATTAAATAAAACAAGGGATGGAAATCTTAAACACACCAAGAGACGTGGATAAGAAATACTCAAGGTTGAATGGGAGAGAAAATTATTAGAGGTATGAGAAAATGAAGAAAAATAGAATCAATTCTTAAACTATGCACAAGTATAAGGTAAAACCCTAATACACTCCCTAATCAAAATTAGTTTAAAAATGAAAGAAAAATTATAAAAATTGAGCCAATTAAAACCTAACTTTCTAAAGGCTTTATAAAAGTCAGAAACATGATTAATATTCCTTAGATTTATTTGAGGGGTTAGAAATGATTAGAAATTTTCAAGATTAGTTAATAAGAGGGTCAAGTTAGAGAGTCTTAGTATAATATTTGTGAAAAAATGTAAAATCAAAAGTTAAAATTTAACAAAAATGATTTTTATTATTTTAACTCATTCAAGGAAATTAAACATATTTTCTTTGATTTTTACAAGTAAAAGAAATAAGGTTTTAAAAATGCTTCTTAAGACCTAAGGAAGAAGAAAGGTTAAAAAACCAAAATTAATTTCTAAAATTAGAAAGGAAATAAAATTGGATTGTAAATTCAATTAAAAAATCATTGAAAATTAGATTGATGCCTAAAAATCAGTAAGATATTTTTATAGAATTTTATTGTTGAAGAAAGATATTAAAAGAAAATTATTTGGACAAAAAAAAAGTAAAGAAAATGATATTATTAAAGATTGATTTTATTTTCTTTTCAATAATTTTTATAAAATTAAAAAAAAATTATTTTCACGAAGTGCTCTAAAAACGGAACCTAATATATTTTTTTGGAGACTTTTTCAAATTAGTACAAATTGAAAAATAAAATTCTAAAATTTAAATGGTGAGGAAAATCTTAATTTGATTAATTGTATTATTTAATTTTCTATAAAAAAATATAAAAGGAAATAAAAGTCAGAATATGAAAATATAGTAAAAAATAAGCCTAATATATATTTTTGATATATTTTTAGTAAGAGAAAATATTAAAACAAAAATAAGAAAAACAATTAAAAATTAAAAAAACAAACAAAATAAAATACACCTATCAAAATCAAAACGCGCTGTAAAAGATATTTAAATCATGAACAATTAGCACGCGCCACGTAGTCGTCCCTACCACTGAACCATACCCTAACACACTTCTTCAGTTTTACATGTGAGATTCAGCTTGGGATTTCTCCTTCGTTTCTCGATGAAAACTCATGAAACTTTGATCAAATTAAAGATCTCGTGGAGGTCCACAACATAGAAACAAGATTTTTCAAAAACGATCCATGATTCAGTGAAAAAACGCGCGTGAAAACCATTGATTGCAATGATTTTATGAACATGTAAAACAAGATTCATTATGCTATTTTCAGATCTACAGATCTTTCTCATTTCTCCACCAAATTCAAAGATCCAAACATCAAATTTCATCAAAGAATTGCAAGGATTAAGATTGTACTATTAGTTTCTTCAATTATTGCAAGATCAAAACAAAAATTTATCATGAAATCACTGTATCAAGCAGTTTGAACATGAGTTGCAGAGCACGATTCAAGCTTAAAAAATGATGCAAACACTCATCATATCTAAGATATGGCTAGCTATGCTACATGATCTATATCTTGAAATGCAAGTACAATGCAAATTGAAGTCCAAGAACAACTTACCTTGAACGAGTGAAAAATAAATTCACTATAGGCCTCTGAACTTGCAAGAAAATCTAATGGACCTTGCTCTTTCACTTCAATTTTGATGTAGTTATGCAGGAATTGAAGCCTCGAGCAAAGATTTTGAGAGAAACCTTGAAGAAGAGAAAATATGTTTTAAGAGAGAAGTTGAACTTTCAAGGAGAAATTTTAGAGCTCTTGTATGAGTGTTTTTGCAAGCCCCCTGAAATGAGAGTGAAGAGGAGCTTTTATAGAGCTAGGGAAATGTGTTGAAGAAGCTTTGCAAGGGTATGAAAGTCTTTTGCGAATTAAAGCCGTTGGAGGTAGTTTAATGAATTATTGTGTTTTGGGTTCTCAATGTTCAAGCTTGCAGTCGTTTTGGACATCCATAGTGAAAAGAAAAATAGTATAGGCGTGCACAACATGTGCCTCAAGAGCATGTGCAAAAATAGCAAAAACTGATATGCTGTATATTTTGTTCATGACTAGTTCAGTTTCATCTTGAAAATCTTCCAATTGATTTGTGCGATTTCTTTGCTTAAAGGGCCTTTAAAAAGCTCTTTCCATGTAGATCATCATGGTATCTTGAATTTCTCAAATTGGAGTTGAAATGATAGAGATATGAGGAAGAGAAATTGAGGAAAAGTAATGTTAGGTAAGGCAGAGTGCACGCACATGCATGGGCCTGCATGGAGGCATGCTTGATTAGTTCATGGTACCAACTTTAAGAGCCTATATCTTACTCAACCTTAGGCCATTTTGAGTGATCCAAAGTTTAGTAATCAACTCTCATGGAAAACTATAAGATGCTCTTATTAGATTTTCAAATTGATGCTTATATTGGAAGAAATAAGCTCATACATTTGGCACACCACGTATTTCATCAAAATACGCGCATGGCTTGCCAATAAGAAGGCAACTTGACATCTCTTTGTGGCCAAAACTTCTAACTTCAATAACTCATAAATACTTCATTTTTTGGACTTGAACACACATTGATAAACTTGTAGGTTTTTTCTCGAGCTTTCCAAGCATGTAGAGTTTGTCTCCATTGGATAAAAAATGTGAAAGTTATAGATGTCCAAAGTTCAGTACTATGGAGACTTTAGGAGTTAGAAATTTTCCTAAATATTCAAATAACTTCTTGAAAAAGTTATCTCTATTTTGACCTTTTCTCTTGATTTTATGACACCAATGATCATGAAATATGAAAATAGGATACTTGAATTGATGGTTGACCAAAAGTCCACTTGGTCAACTTTGACTTTGGTTGACTCTTGGTCAAAATGACTATTTTGTCCCTTTTGATCAATTGAACTTCTTTTACTCAAAATTGGCACCCAATCTTTCAATCATAAAAGCTTATCAACATATAGAGAGGTATGGAATTAAGTCTTGCTCAAAAGTCAGAGATTTCCTGATTAAATCAAAACCCTAATTTTAACCCTCTGTGTTAGGAGATAATGACCAACCTTCAAAATCCTCATTCTCTTGGACAAATTGAGAAATTCTTTGAACAAAGATGTCTTATATGATGATGAGAAGGTAACTTCACACATTTGTGTTTTACAAACCTCAAACTCTTCAACTGATCAAAACCCTAATCTTGAGAGATGAATAGTGGAAATGTGACTCTTCTCCAAACTTTTCAAATTTCCAACTTCTAATGATCATATGGGACAAATGAGATGCCTTGCAATACAAGAAACCCTTGTAGCTTGAGAGAGTTTTAAAGATTGAAGATATGAGATCCTCTTCTGCACTGATTTGACCAACCAAACATCTTTTATAGCTCGCAGAAGAACTTGGAAAGCAAGATACCCTAATCCTTACCATGAAAATATATGAATATGTATGATGAAGCATAAACCATATTACTAAAATGAAGAGGGCAAATTATGAGGTTTAGATGCACCTCGATCCGATAACTTGATCGTCAATAGTGACGACACGAAAACAACAAAAACAAAAGGCTCCAAGTGAAAATGTCTCTGTTATTCAAAATATATTGCTATTAATGTGGAGAAGATTTAAACTTTTTTTAACGTTGATAAAATAATTCAATTGAAAAAATTATGATAAAAATAATTTCAACTTTCTTATAATAAAATCAAATTATTCTCTAAACATCTTTAGACCAATAAGTATTAGAAGTTTTAAAATTAATAAATATCTTTAAAAATACACTTAACAATAATTCTTTTTAATCAAGACAATTTAAATTAAAAAATCACAATTATATAAAAATTGCTCGGTCAAAAAATTAATAACAAATACATAAAAAAAAAAGGAAGAGAATTTTTAACCTAATTTTGAAATTGAAGATTTGAACGAAAGAATAGTCTAGAATGTAGACCTTAAATAAAAAGAAAAAAAATAAAATATTGACACGCTATAAGGGTAGGCATTGATTGGAGCGTGTGTATATATATTCTCTTGTTTGTTGCTAATAGCCGCACCGCACATTCTAATCTCAAAACACAAACGCACTTTCGCTGCGCCTCCTATCGCCTCAACTATCTTCTCAATCTCTTCTGCAGGTATCATCTCATATCTACGCCGCTAGGGTTTGCTTTCTCTCTCTCAATTCTCTATTTCTTTTTATCAGTTTTTTGCCGTTGTTTGATTATTTATATTATTATCTGGATGAAAACCTAGATCGTTTAATTTGATTCATGGTTTGGTGATTTTTGTTTTCGATTTGATTTATTTGTTTGTTTGAAGCTTTTTGATTCAATTGAGATTGATTTGGTATGATATGATTGAGATCTGAATGTTTGACGGTTGTTATATTGTGTTTAACGATTTTTCGTTAATTTGGAGCTGTTCGTGATTAATTTTATCATGTTTTTGGTATTCGAATCCATATATCGTTTTTTTAATCATTGTTGGTTGATTGAAGGTTATTTTGTATTGATTTTTTCACCGTTTAAAGTTTTAGGGTTTGGTTGTATATGAATGCTTAGATTGAAATTAAATCTGTTGGATGTGTTTGATATGTGCTTTAACCTGGATTGATTTGTTTTTATGTTTTGGATTTATAAGAATAATTAGGTTTTAGGTTTTATACAGCTGATTTTTGTATTGTGTTTTGGTTTTATATGAATACTTAGGTTTTATACAGCTATTTTTTGCACGGGTGAATGGATTCAGTTATTTATGTGGCGGATCATTGTGTGTTGGTAGATGTTTAAAGCTTGTTTGTTCTTGTATTGTTATCTATTGGGTATTGAATATGATGATATGCTTAGATTAATTACGCTTATTTTGCTAGCTGCTTTTTGATGAAGATTGTTATTTTGACTTCAAATTTAGGTTATACTTGGTTATAATTATTATTGATGTCTTGTTGTATTTAATTGTTGTTTGTGCCCTGCGTATTATTCAGTTATTAATGTCTGGATTTATTATCTGCCGTTGTTATTTGTCAAATTTAACCGTTTTTGTTTCTTGGGTGTTTTATTCATGTATTAATGTTGGAAAGTGTTAATATTGAATACTTAACCGTTGTAACTGAAATTATGTAGTTTTTGGTTGTTGATACAGGATTCCTGCTAGTTCTGTGGTAGCAGATTCTGAGGTGAAGGTGCACGTTGAAGTTTTTTTCATGTTTGAACAGGCAACCATCCATTTGGGAGCAATTGAGTTGCTTACAGAGTGTTTTACTTCTTCTAAGAAAAAGAACAAGTCTTTGCCGAGAAAAATCAGCTGTATGCATCGTGCCCCTTATCAGGAACATACTCAGCTCTGTTGTTTCTATTTGCAGCCTCCCGCAATCTCTGAAGGAGATTCTCTCTAATCATTACCAGCAAATTTACATTGCTGGCTGTGATATTCTAATCTGTTTATCTGCTATTCTGTCATTTGAGTCATCATGGCCTTACAGAACATTGGTGCTGGCAACAGTGATGATGCCTTCTACAGGTATAAGATGCCTAGAATGATCACGAAAATTGAGGGCAGGGGTAATGGCATCAAGACAAACATTGTCAATATGGTTGATATTGCTAAAGCTTTAGCAAGGCCAGCTGCTTACACAACTAAGTATTTTGGTTGTGAACTTGGTGCACAATCAAAATTCGATGAGAAAACTGGGACTTCTCATGTAAATGGGGCACATGATACCCCAAAACTTGCTGGTCTGCTTGAGAACTTCATTAAGAAATATGTTCAATGTTATGGTTGTGGAAATCCTGAAACTGAGATCTTAATTACTAGGAATCAGATGATCCAGCTGAAATGTGCTGCTTGTGGTTTTGTGTCTGACGTGGATATGAGAGACAAGCTGACTACATTCATCGTTAAGAACCCACCTGAAACAAAGAAAGGTACCAAAGACAAGAAGGCCATGAGGAGAGCTGAAAAGGAGAGACTGAAGGAAGGTGAAGCAGCTGATGAGGAGCTGAAAAAGCTGAAGAAAGAGGTTGTCAAGAAGAAAGTGGCTCCTAAGGAAGGTGCTACAAAATCAAGCTCCTCAAGGAAAAAAGGAAATGGCTCTGATGAAGATCATTCATCTCCTACTCGAAGCCCAACTGATGAGAAGGATGAGGCTGAAGATGAAGATGATGTGCAGTGGCAAACAGACACATCACTGGAGGCTGCTCGGCTACGAAGCCAAGAACAGCTAAGTGCTGTGACAGCTGATATGGTCATGCTCTCAACCAATGAAGCGGAGGAGAAAGCGGCCACTAAGGTAAGTGGCAATCAAGATAATGGCAACTCCATGAAATACAAGACTCTTGTTGCAGAAATCAAAGCTGATTTGAAGAAAGGTGTCAAGGCTAAAGAATTGGTGGCCCACTGGGCAACGCATCCTGTTTCTCCCCAAGAGAAGATGAGTGCTCTGTATGAAGCTCTATTTGGGGACCTTGAGAAAGGGTTTGCAAAAGAAGCAATTAAGAAGAAGAGCTACCTTGCTGCTGCTGTTGCTGAGGAAGAGGGTATGCCATTGCTGCTGCTGCGTGCTATAGAGGAATTTTCCTGCAAGTCCTCCAATGCACTTAAGGAGGTTGCTGTGGTTATTAAGCATCTTTACGATGCTGATGCTTTGGAGGAAGAGCACATACTGCAGTGGTATCAAGAAGGGCTGAAAGGAGACAGTAAGAACTCTCAGATTTGGAAGAATGTTCAGCCTTTCATTGACTGGCTTCAGAGTGCAGAATCAGAGTCGGAGGAAGAATAGTGTGTGTTGGCGGCTTTGTTTACATCCGTGCTTTGATCGTTTCTTTGTTTTTTTAATAAAGGGTGCGGTTTTCCCCTAGTGTTGTTGAGCTTTTATTTTAAAACTTTAAATTGTGATGTTTGCCTTTTGTTAATGGCTCGCAAAGTTATGATCTGAGACTCTTTTGTTCTTTGTTTTAGAACATGGAATTCTGGTGTGTTTGTGTTTATTAAAACTCTTCCTAGTATTATTTTAATGTTGTTTTATTTAACGCTGTGTTTTGTGATGCTTACATTGCAAAGATTTTATTTATCACTCTTTAATGATGCATTTGTCTTTCCTTCTCCCATGCGCCGTTGTTGTGTTATTGTTGTTTTAGAAATTTCTTACTATTGAGGTATCTAATTCGTGGTAGACGGACTACATGGAAGGATGATTTGCAAGCGCTTATAATCCAACAAGGAGGAACTTTACATTAATATGTACAATAACATTTATATATGTTGACTAACTTTTTCAAACGATGAACTACATCGTTTTTACATCAATTTCCTCATCAATTTAGGTGTGCTTCTGCTATATATATTTTGTCCTCGCATCCATTTCTTCATCTGTTATGGACCCTAAAATCACTGAATATGGATGACACGCAACTGAGACTGGCTCATGTTTCTGTCAACGTGTGTTTGCAATTGCATAAGGGGATTATGATCCTGTGCAGAAACATAAAACGAATAAAACAAATAATTAAATTGTAGTGCAAATCTGAATAAGCATGTGCTCTACTAGTTGAGATCCTCTCTAGAAACCGGTTTAAAATTGAAAGTATACCTCAAACTGTTTTTTCCATTTTGAAGTGTGAAACCACGTGTAAAATATGATGTCAACTGAAAATGTATTTTCGGTTTTCCGATGAGCAATTTCAGAATTGTTTAGGGTGTCCTTTTTTTATACGAGGTGGGGTTTTCCTATGAACAATTTCAGAATTGTTTAGGGTGTTCTTTTTCTATACGAGGTGGGGTGTTTTTTTTCTATATGAAGTGGGGTAAGAAATTCCCAAAGTTTTTAGTGTCTAGTTTTATAGACTTTGTAACTGATAACTTGATACATATGTTTAAGAATAAAAATATTGAGTTGGTTAACCTGGTTTTGAAGTTGTTGAATAGCTTTTACCATTATATACACGGGTACAATTAATCCAGTGATTCCCCACATTAGCAACTGATGCAATGCATTTCAGAAATCAATATTTTATTCGGGCTAATACATTTATCCAAAATGTTCTAATTTATCTTACCGTGATCACTGTCAAAGAAGACTCTTCTACTTCATTGAGTATAAATATGATTGGAAGTGTATGCCGTAAAACAAGCAGAACAATAAACTGCAATAAACAGATATGAAAACAACTTTGTAAAGTGAAATTGCATTGATTCAATAGTAAACTTGAATAGCTTGATATACAAAGATTCTAAATTTAGTAAAACATAGAGGTAACGGGAGCAAATGGAAATTACAATGATGGCAACAATGCGAATGAACACGCGGCTCCTTGTAGAGGGAGCTGAATATTCAAAATCAAAGTCTAGAAATTCATGATTAGCAGGAAACAATGCTATGAACTGATGATTATTGAAACCAACTCTTGGAATTTCCCAGTTGCCACTGAAAGATAATTAACAATCTTCTATCATCATTTGATCCATAGAAAAGGAAATTAACTAAAGAATAAATAATTAAATACCTATAGTGAAACAAAGGAGCTTGAGGAGCAGTGTAGCCTTTAAATTGCTGCATTCAACAACACAATCAACAAAATAAAGGGGAAGATAATTAAGCATTTTTTTCTTACAAATTTGAATAACTTATATGTTGAGTAAGACAATAGAAACAAAGTGCAGACCTGTTGGCAAATCTCACAAGTAGTATCACCTTTCTCATTGCACCATCTTTGCACACATATTCTATGAGCATACTGCAATGTACCAGAACAAGAACAAGGTGTATCCATGTTTAAGTCTTCATCTTCATCGTGACATATTCGACATTGTACCAACGTATTAGGCGAACATGACTCAATTTGATCAACCATTTCAAATGGAAAAAAAAATCACATCAACATTGTTTGACCATAGAGTTGTAATCCTTTAGATTTAGGATGAAGTAATCAATCAACAAAATCAAACCAATATCAAAATCAAAAGCACTAGAAAATATTTTCTTTTGAAAAATTATAACTACAATATAGACCAATTTCATTATATGAGTAGTTGCTTTTAGTTGTGTTTGCCTAAGGTAGTAGGTTTGGAAAAGGTAACAGAAGAAAGGAACTTTAATTCCACATACTCAAGAAAGGTATTACTGTTTAGCAATTTGAAATTCAAACACAAACATTAACTATAAAAAAAAAGTATATATGAATCTTGGGATTGCCTATGAATATTGACATTGGAATATCAAAAATATTTCTTTCCATTAAATGAATGGTGGTCCAAATGTTGTGATGAAACCTTCCTTCAAATAAAATACCAAACTTCAAGCTTTTATTTTTCCTTTGTCTTCAACTACCACCAAAACAACAATTCAACACGATCAATTTAGGATTCAACAAGTCCTTGAAGTATCACACAATATTTAAAAGAGACAATATCTTGTAAACACAATACCGACTTTAAGCCAGAATCCAAAATATTCTCTTAAACAATTAGTGAAAATTTAATCTTCCTTTTTTCAGGGATACCCTCACAATACGCGTCACTTTAATAGTTTCCTTAATATTATTTTAGTCTCAAATTTATAGAGCATTTTTCACAATGTCATGCTTCTGGCAATGGAGCATTTGGAATATAAAAAAATACTTGTGCAGTAGTAGTATGCATGAAGAAGCCATATTTTCATAATAACTATGAATCAATTCTTTTTTACAAGAGTTCAGAAACTATATATAACAAAAAGAAACCTCAACAGAGAAAGTGAATTACAGATTCATGGCATATAAATCAGTCATCATACGAGGAGTGAGGAGAAGCGGTGCAACCGAGATCAAATGGATCTTCAGATCCACAACAATGCCAATACTGAAGAACTTTTCCAGAGCCAGGAGTGCTCATGGTGCCCCCTTCATAGACACTCTCAAACTTTCTCTTAGTTTCTCCTGCGATTGAGGAAAATTGAATGAAATGTAATCATTGCCAACTTATTATATCTAAATACTATTGCAAATTAAAATCATTAAAATTCACAAATTTGCATCAATGTTGATTGGACAAAAATAAAAGTATCTATAAAAGGAAAAATGCTAAATGTCACATAATAATCATCACAAATGCGTTGCGAGCAATATTTATGACGAGAGTTTCTCAATCTACCCTCCAAAATGCAGGAGGTTTACCGGAAAGATCCTTCTAGTAGTGCATTTTGGCAGAATTGAGCATATAGAGAGGTAGATTGAGAAACTCCCATTTATGGCTGGCTTGGCTATTTAGCACCATTATCTATCCTATTTTCTGCCAAACTAAGAATTGAAATTTTGGATTTTGTTTTGAACCTAAAACGTGCTTCGTGATAGAAAGCATTGGTGTTAAATGTTAATAAAAACTCAGAGGTCAATGTGGCAAGAAATATGATTCATGATAGAACAGTATGGCCTCGTTTGATCCATCTAGTTGACAGACCCAACTAATGTGTTAAGGTTAGGTTACAAAATTCATATGATGGTCGACATTTTGTACAAATATGAACCAAACAGGGTTTGGTTTCTCTTTAGACCCACAAGCTAAATCTATGTGTTTTCCATTTGCATCATCCCACACTCAAGCTGAGTTCCTAACCTTTCATAGTAGATCCTTTGTTAACCTCGGCTTTAATAAAACCAATGCTATGGCTCTATAAAATGAAAGGAATCCACATTATGTAGCTGGTGTAAGCAGAATTTAAGAGTGAAATCACAAGTTCAATCATCCATGAGTTATAATATCATAAGTGCCGCCTCATATGAATGTCCATAAGTCTTTTCAATTATTTCCTTTGTAACAAAGTACATTGATATAGCAAAGAAACCTAGTTTTATAGTATCCTTATCGAATTACCGATGTATTAAAAAATTGCTGATGAAGATGAGAAATTGAACACATAAGAAAAAAGTGGGGTACCTCCATAATGGGCAGTATGAAATCGACAAGCAAGAGGGTGGTTGAGGGAAGGGTCGAATTGGGTTTTGCAGTTCTTGCAAGTTCTGAGGTTGACGCTGCTGGTTTTGTGGTTGGAGCTTGAGGAACACCGAGTAGATGGGAATTGGAGGAATAGTGAGCAATTTAGGTTTGGTTTAGATTGAAAAGGAAAAGGGGTTTTGTTAACGTGAAGATGAAGAGGAGGATTGTGAGCAAATGAAAGAGCCATTGAGCTGTGTTAACAGAGATAACAAGAATTGCAATGCCACATGATAACAGAGATAAACTTAAAGTTAAAAGTTAAATTCTAAAAATTCATTTTTTTAGTTTTATCAAACAGACCCTGAATATTAATATAATTTTTTAATATTCATTACATATTATAGATTGAATCTAATTTATTAAATAATTTTTTGTTTGATGAATGAATTAAATGAATAAATTATTGAACTTTATTGTGACACCTATTTTTATGTGCGTCAGAAAGTATAATTATAAATTGAAAATTTCTTATTACACTTTATATAGATGAAAAGAATCATATGAAAAATTGAAATTGTCTCTCTATTTTCGAAAATATATTTTCAGACGTACCATTTGCATCACACACAAACTAGCAAATTTAGTGTCACTTTAAAGCTAAATTAAAATACATTCCAAAGATATATCTCTTGGAGTATGATATAATAAATTGAGAAAGAGTCATTACTGGAAGAATTCTGGAGATGTAACTCTGGTAAAATTGTGCTGGAATTTGAAATATTGTCACCTTTGCATGTTGGATTATTTCGGAGATGTATTTTCGAAAAAATCAAATGTGAAATTGCTTAAAACAACAACCTGCATGATCAGACTTCATTTGCCATATTTTCCTTAAACCCTCTCATTCCATTCTCAATCAAGTTTTTCACTCCAAATCTCCATTCTTGTGTTGCAACAAATCAAAAGTGGAATTTAAAATAAAGTTTCAACCCTTATTTCTCATATTAATTTGTTTTTGAAGAAAAAAAAAGGTCACATTTTAACCAGAAGTGTATCTCTGAAATTTCTATGTACTCGTCCGGATATACATTTCTGGAAGTTGCATGTGTTGTTTCAACCCATATTCCTCACATTTATGAATGTTTCTTCGTTTTTATGTTTTGTTTATATTACGTAGGGTGTTGTTCACCGTGTTTTCTGGTAAATAACCGCCGATCTTTCAAAAAGAGTAATTTTTTAATTACTCGCTGGATCGACCAGGTTGATCCTAGAACATATGCTAATTTTTGATGTTGTTTGGACATAAACGTTAATGTGAGTGAAGAACGCACGTTCGACTAGGAAAGGGATGAGTTTGGGTGCAGAAAGTAAATAGAACAAAGGGGTTGGGGAGAGTTTAGATGTAGGAATCTGGGTAAAAGTGCAGATAAAGTGCAAACAAGATAAAAAGACAAGAAATGTAAATAGAGAAATAAAAGACTTTGATTGTAAAATGTGGCATTTCAAACGTACATTTTTCAGTATTCTTTCTCATGCAGCAGGTACTTGAATAGTATTGAATAATTTGTACGATCAGTTGAACACACGGAAATCTACACACACTTCTTATATTTATACTAAAACTAGGTAACCGTCGAGGAGTTTCCTTGCTCTATGATGAAGACAAGTGTCTTCTGCATGCGCTTCGATCCCTCTCTTCATGCCACGTTGCTTTCCTCAACTGTCAGGCGAATTATTTTTCCCTCCTTTCTTCAGATTCAAAATCTCCTAGTGCAGATACAAAGTTTCCTTTTGGTCGAAGACCTTGGAGTCCTTTCAGTCGAAGGGATTGAGAACTTTCTGGTCGAAGACTCATTTTAACTTAGAATTTCTCTAAGTATTTTTCTACTTTGTTGAAGCCTTTCCAACTTAGATTTGTTCAATCTATTTTTGGCCCATAAGACCAACTTATTATAGGTGTCGAATTTAGGAGCTAACAAATTTCCCCCCAAGAATATCAGTTTCGACGCAAGGAGAGATGATCATTCGACACATGTCTTCTCTTTAACCACATAAATCGTTTGTGTGCTTTTCGCCTTCTACCAACCACTGTTGGTATTCAGAGTCATCATTACCTTTTTCCCAACACGTCGCTGTCAATCAGTCGTTACCACGCTGCCATGATGGCCATTATCCCTACAACCTAGGAAAGTATGGCAAACATTTTCATTACTCGTACGATAACTACTTTAACGCTTGCCACGTGCCCCACTAACTCTGCAGCATTAAATGGTCTTGGGGAAAAACACTTCTTCCTGAATATTATAAATAGACGAATCCTCTTTTGGGGATCCTTTTACAACTCCTAGTATTCTTCACTTCCTTGCAAAGAAAAAAACCTTAACAACTTCATCTTCTTCGCTCTTTCACTATTACTGTCAGCCATGGCTTTCCTTTCCAATGCACCCAACAATCCAAAAACTAAGAACGATTCTAATCTTCAAAGACAACTAGAGGTTTTCTCCATTAACCTTGTACCTATTTCGATTGGGGAACAAAGGTTTGTATCTGAACCCATGGCCAAAGAGTGGCGTGATGCTTATGACTCCCAATTGCTTATCCCTGTTAGGTATTCTGGGAAAATGTATGCTATGTCTGGCCCATTGTCTAAATGTTTCGAGAACCCAAAACAAAATAACAACTTCTTCCCAACTCACCCTAGGCTCAGGCCTATAGGTTGTGCGAAGAAACTCAGGAATGATCCTGAAGATGCAACTCCTGCCAACCAGCAACATTCTCAGATGAAGGAAGATATCAACCTTCAGTTCATGAACAAGGACAATAAGATCTTTCAATCTTGCCCTAGTCTTACTTCAGAATACTCATAATGGTTGAGCAAGATGGAAAAAGTACAAGCCCAAATCTGGAAAGATATGAGGATCTATGACTTGATCATGCTGTCGAAGACTGGATTAGCTTATTGCCCTCTCATACTGGTGTCTTCATTGTATTTCTGGGACAACACACATTTTACCTTCCATTTGCCTTTTGGAATGGTGACTCCAACCCTCTTCGATATAGCCGCCATTACTGGTCTTCGACCAACGGGTGACTACTTCGACCCTGAGGATATGTCTGAAGATCATATCAGGTTTTCGGCCATGAAGCCCATGTATACCATATTCATCAATCATTTCCACGACAAATCGAGTACCACTATCTCTGAAGTGAAACACATAGCTTTTCTGGATTTGTGGTTATCTCATTTTGTTTTTTGCACCAAGTCACTTCAAGTGACTAAGAAAATGCTTACTCTTGCAACACGGCTTCACCATGGCTATCCTCTTTGTCTGGCTGAGTTAATTCTAGCTAACCTGTATGAGTCCATCAGCAATGGTGTGACTCAACTTAAGGTTATTGGAGACAAGGCGAGTTTACTCCTTTCCGACCCCTTTTGGCTTCTGCAACTTTGGCTAAATACCACCTTTGAATATTTTCTTCCGCAGAAGAATAAGATTAACGAGAGGGCTCCAGAGGTCCTGAATAGAAGGGTCGAAGGGACTAGACTAGTCCTGTTGACTCCAACTGACGAAGGTCAAAATTACAAAAGGCATTTACCAACTTTGTAATTATGTTTTCAAAGCGGAAGGAATTTGTTTTGACCATGGCTCCCTTTGCTAGTAGAAAGGTTGGCCCGAAATGGTTCATTCAACCATATCCCTCGTCTGAAGAAGATGACCATGTGGATGAATATGTATATGTCTGGGAGTCGTTTCTTCGACCAAGAATCATGCCTATGAGATTCAAGATTTCGAAGAATTAACTTAGCTTAATTGCTTATCAACCGAATCTTGTCTCTTGACAATTTGGTATTATCCAGACGCTACCTTCACCAATCTACTCTCGAGAAAAACTTCTGTTGTTTTACAATGCAGACTACTCAGAGGATGCTGCTACCAAGCATATTGGTAGGTACATTGGTCAAACCGTACTAACTCTATTCGACTTCAATCTCAATTTCCTATGTTCACCTCTTTTTGAGGACTGGTGGAAGCAGTATTATAACGGAAAAAAATTCGACGAAAAAGACTTCGTTGCTCACCTTCAAGAGGCGTTTACGCTAGTCTCTGACAAGATAAAAAAGGGTAATATTATTTCTCAAAGCAAATGTCTTTATCATCTTCAATCAAATCATTCGACACCTAATTTATCCTTGTTCATTTTCTAGCGGTCAAGAGGACCGTCACCAAAAAAGTCGCTGAAAGCGCAAAAGGAGGAGACCCTTCTGTGAAACCTTCACCCAAGGTAAACACTTTCTGCTGTTATATCTTTCTTTTCGACATATTACTTTTGACGCTAATGCCTTCGACTCCTTTCTTTCTGGGCATTTGAAATTAATCCGCAGAAAAGGAAAGTTCAAGAAATTGAAATTTCCAGTGATGAAGAGGAAGAATCTCCTCCTGTCCCCCTAAAAAGACAAAAGTTAAAGAAACCATCCCTTATTCCTGAGCCTCGTCCAAAAACCAAGGTCAAGGTTAAAGTCATTGGGTCGAGACCTCCTCTTGTCGTCATCAGAGAACCAATGGAGCAGGAGATAGCTGTTAGGTTAAACAATCCTAGTGAGAGCGACAACTCAAGTCGTGGCGCTAAAATTTTGCCTAAGGTAATTACTTCGACCCCTCACGATCGTTTACTGACTTCGACTTCTTTTTCTTTTTAAATAGTTCTAATAACCATCTTGTAATCTTAAAGACACTGTTGGTACTTCAAAACAGAACCTCGTAGAAGAATTTGTCACCATGATAAACAGTGAGGGTGATCCTGCTTACATGCCTTCTTCGACAAAAGAATCTTTTGTGAGTTCTGCTAGCGAAGTGAACCAAAATTTTGGGCACGAAGTCGTTGGAAAGCCTAATGAAGAAGTTCCTAGTGAAGAGCATGTGAATCCTGGGACTCCGCAAGCTAATGATGATGGACATAAGGATGGGGAATAGGAGGTTGCTGACGATGTGATTGAAACGGAGAAGGAAAACACGCCAGCGGGAGGAAATCGAACTGAAGATATTCCGGCGACTGATGAGAGGGAAGACCTCACAGGGGGAGCAGGAAACTCTGCGCGTGTTGAAGATGTCCCTGTGCAGATGCCCGTTGAAGCCAATGTGGCTCGTATTGTAAACGAGAAGGTTACTTCGACAGGGTCTCATACTAAGGAAGATTTGGCATTGCTGAAACGGAAAAATCCTCTTGGCTACTTGACTTCCATCCTTG